GAATCCCATAGTTATTTTCATTCTAGAACAAGAGGGAGCAGGAAAGAAACACAGTTCTCGATTTGTTTTGGTCTGCAATGTTGTCAGTTTTCTTTTGCATTTTTCTGCACAAGTGGCCATTATATACTTTGTCCACATGATCACGGCCCCAAGGGACTGGGAACCTTATCTTTTTCGTCGTTTTGTTTTTGTAATGTCCATTTTTGTCGATGTAGTCAGAGGCTAGCTCTGACTTTTTTTATTTTAAACAAAGCATCTAGTAGTATTTTAATAATAGCATGTCTAGAACTAATTCTGAGAAACTAAGTATTTTCTTCATTTCCCACGGTACAACGTGATAAATAAATAAAGCTATGTCGTCTGTATTGATGTAAATAAAGGGATGTTTAAATTCAGGGGCTAAAGTTTAGGTTATCACATCGGGTGTCATATCGAGTGTTCGGATAGTAATAAAAAAATTACGCAAGTCCATAGTAATCCGCGAGACAAATTTACTAAGTCTAATTAATCTGTTATTAGCACATGTTTACTGCAACACCACATTGTCAAATCATAGACTAATTAGCCTTAAAAATTATCTCACAAATTAGTCTCAATATGTGTATTTAGTTTCATAATTAGTCTATATTTAATACTCCATACATATGTCCAAATATCCGATATGACAGGGGCTAAAGTTTAGGAGGAAAAAATAAACAACACGTAAATAGAAACACTGACGCGTGCCTAAACACTTTCTATATATAGGATTGAGTCATGCTATTTTATCAGGCGTGTGATTAAAAGCTAGTCACGCCATCAAAAGATGCATACCTTTTATAGAAATTGATGACAAATGTGGAGAGATTGAGAGAAAGATATGGCAATTGGGGATTTGGACATGGACAATGGATAAAGAGGGAGCAATATTGAGGAATTGAGAAGGATCAAAAATTTTGGACAAGAGAAGCACACAAGTATGGGGGAGCAAGCTCATGAACTTTGATTGTTTGCATTTAATATGTGCATATTCATGAGCTTGCTTGCATTGCATGAGTTTTTAAATTTGATTTGTATGCTTGTGTGGTGTATGCTAGTTGTAGAATTTGATTGATGATATGATAACTAGCATGCATAGGATGGTAGCTAGACTTATATTTCTACACGTGGTACTAGAACCTTGCTTAGAATGTTGATCTCACGGGGTTTCTAGTGTATTTGATGTCTAGCTACTCATGGTGCTAAGGATGGTGTTAAAAGTACAACTCCTATTGGTATCACGCTTCAAAGGTTTATTCTTTACACCTTAGCACCATTGGTAGTAATTACTCTCTCATAATTCTAATCTATGCATAAGTGCGAGCTTCAAACCAAACACTCTAGCATATATGTTGGGTGAACTAATACTACCAATTCGGGTTTGTGGTACTTGTCTAAAATCATTTACACATGGTAAAATTGCTTGGACAAGCAACATAAATACAAAAGAGCTTAATTTCTATATCTTTGTAGAGTTATCATTAATTACCAAAACAGAAAGATTGAAAGGTCCTTGTTTGGTTTTGGTAATTGAGTGACAATCTAGGTGGACTAATATATGGTTATGTGAGAATACACATGAGATTAGTTCAGAGGTGAATATGTAATGAAGGAGCTCATTGCATATGAGACATGACATGGAATCATGTGACTAAGGTGGAGAAGATCAAGATGAGGCTTGGCTTGATGGACCGGTTGTAAGAGTGAATGGCAAGTCAAAGGTTTTGAAGCGTTGGACCGCATGGCAGGATGCTTGAGCAAAGACTTGGCGCCGATGGACTGATGCAACGGTGAAGAGCAAGTGAGGTCAAGATCGATAAACCAATAAGGTCACATGATGATATGAAGTGGATCATATCATTATTGATTGTGTTGGTGCATGTGTTGCATTGACATTGGAGGAGATGGAATGGAATGTGCAAGGCAAAGGTATAACCTATAAGGCATTTCATTTCGCCGGTCATAGATGTGTAGAGAAGTTTACGACCGGGTTTAGGATAGATGGTCGTACTATCAAGAGGGACAAACTTATTTGCATATCGGTCATCTAGTGCCACTCAAGTGATCTAACTTCGCATCGTTGCTAGGATCGAGTGGCGTGGCAAGTCGAGTGACTAATCATTTCAAAAATGTTGTGAAAATGCTAACACACTTGCACTTGGTGGTGTTGGCACATTTGCAAAGGAGAAGTTGTTGGAGTTGAATTGGATCAACTTAGAGAAGAGAGAAAGGTTTTTCGGTGTGCTCTGAACTTTGTGATGGTCCTTGGATTGGAATTCTACATTGATCCATTGTGCTTTGGATCAAGTATACAAGTGGGATGTGTAGCTCTCTGAGTAAGCTTTCCAAAATATCCAAGATCATTGAATTCAGAGTTCGGAGCTAAGAGTTATAGCCGTTTTAGCGTTGAAAGGTCTGTGACCGGACTCTGTGACCTACGCGTCCGGTCAGCACCTGTGAGTCCAGTCACAGAGTCTGGTCAGTGTTTTTAACATGTCCAGGAGTGACTGGATGCACGGGGAGTCTGATCAGTGATGACCTGACGCGTTCGGTCATCAAAAGAGCTCTCTAGAACCTCTCTAGAAGTGCCCGGACTCTTGAAGAGTCGAGTCCGGTCGTAGAAGAAAGGTGAGTCCAGTCAGTTGTGCACAGGCGCGTTGGTGACCGGGCCATGTCCGGTCGCTAGACCTAGGCACGTCCAGTCAGGAGTATGCGCGTGTGGAAGCTAGCCGTTGGCGAGCAACAATCATCTTCGAATGGCTAGGACACGTGGTGCACGAGGAGTGACCGGACTCTATGAGCTACGCGTCTGGTCACTGCAGCAGCGAGTCCGGTCAGTACGAAAAGTGCTCAGTGAACCAGGTAACGGCTATTTTAGCCCTTGGGGCTATAAAAGGAGTATGTGGCTGGCCTTGGCACATGCTTAGCACCCTTGGGAGTTAGTGTCCATGCTTGAGGAGTGCTAGAAGAGCCTCTAACTCACTTGTGCTTGCAAGAGGGCGAATCGATTGCGAGTGAGTGATTCTAGTGCGATTGCATTGTGAGATTGCATCAAGTGATACTAGGTGTTTGAGTTGCAAGCCGGTAGTGCTTGTTAGTCTTGGAGGTTGCCACCTCCTAGACTGCTTGGTGGGGAGTTCTCTGTCGTGAAGCACGCAAAAAGATTGTGCGATGCTCCAAAGAAGGATTTGTGAGGGTTACCGTGCTCACCGCGTGGGAGCCGCGAAAATCAACACTAGTAGAGTGTGTCATTGAGCTACCCTTACCTGTGGGTAGGTTCTTACGGTGCCCGACGTGTGGGCTTGGCGGGTGATGCCAATAAGCTGCTGAACTATCAAGTGAGCGGTCGACACAACGGGGACTAGCGTGTTGGCAAGCATGTGAACCTCGGGATAAAAATCATCGTGTCATCATTGTCTTCCCGTTGGTTTGCATCCCCTTTACACAAGCTTGTCTTTATATTTCATACATTGTGCTTGTGTAGTTGCTTTTGTAATTAGTTAGCTTGTGTAGCTTGCTAGTTACCTTCTTACTTGTGTAGCATAGAAGTAGCTCCCTTGCTTGGCTAATTTTGTTTTGGTAACCTTATTAGTCACATTGCTTAGTTTGTGTAGCTAATAATTTGCGCTCTCTAATTTGGCATTAGTTGCCTTGTTATTGAGCATTGCTAGTGAGCTTAGGAGCTTTGTGTTTTTTGCTTACTAGTTATGTAGGAGCTCCCCTGTGCTTGAAGTACTAGTAGCATAAGTTTGTGTGATCTTTCTTCTAGAATTGGTTAGGTGAGCTCTAGCTAGCTCGGTACCTTAGTTGCTTGTTTAGGATCTTTTTAAGGTGCTTGTGAACTTAGATAGAGGGGTGTAGTCTTGGCTAGACCGATAGTTTCAATTCCACATTTGTTTCGTTTAGCCGGCGCGATTATTTTTAGAAATGACTATTCACCCCCTTTACTCCGCCATCTCGACCCTACAATGTGTTTTTGAACTTTTTTGGGATTTTTGTTGATTCAAATATAAGGATCTCTAAAACTCTTCAATTTTGTTACTACATAGATGTTACAAATTGAATATGGTCAATTTTATTCAAATAAAAAGATTTTTTTCCATATGATACTATATTTAAATTTTTGGTTAACCTATTTAACCTCAAAATAGTCTATTAAAAAATCAAAAGCACCCGAGAAGAATGGACACACATGTGTTCTGTCTGGGAGAGCTCCAGCTCCAGCTTCTCTGAAAAAACACTCACAACCAACCAAACGCTCAAAATGCCAACTAATTCAGGTGGGGATCAGGAGAGAATCATTTCTCCATTTACACTAGGAGCTAAGAGCTAAAAAGACCTTCTTCACCCTGGTCCTTATTATATTTTGGTGGGAATCAGTACAGAATCAATTCTCATCAGCTCCCCACCTTGCTCACTCTTAGGAATTCAATGGAATCACTTCATTGGAGAATCAAGGAGCAGAGTTGAAAAATCAGGGAGCGGAGCTCTTCCAAATGGGGCCAGCTGTTAGCCATGCCAAGCAAAATGGGGTGACCGAATTCTATATGGAAAATATTCACGCTACACACCAACATATATTTAGTCACGCTAATGCATATGGCGTGAATGTGACTATTCATTTGTCATGCCATGTCTAGTGGTGTGTTGCTGAAGATTTAATTATGAATATGTTATTATTAAAATGTTATAATTTTTTCGGTTAAAACAAAAAAGATTCAGCTGTCTCCATGTGTTTGCTGGAGGAAAAAAATTAGTGGGCCGGGACAGTCCTCACTGCCATGGGCAGTCACCGTGAATTCACGACACGTGTCCATGCGCATGCATCTAACTCATGTTGCTAATTCATGGTGGGTGCTCCTGGTTGGTTGGTGAGGATCGTGCCCACGGATGCTCGCTTATAAAACCGGTGCCAATGGAGACCCATCCATGTATGAAATATGAATGACAGATGAAAAATTAATCAACAACATCTCATCACCATGTCGACTTCTGCCCATGCAGAGCAACAAGAGCCTAACGCCCACAACCACCTTCACCACCGTACTTACGTGGAGCTGTATCACCACGGCCTTTACCACATCAAGTCATCGGCGCTGCTGTGCGCGGTCGGACTAGGCATCCCCGGCGCCATCCTCCGCCGCGGCGGCGCAGCAACAATCTCCGACCTCGTCGCCAACACCGGTGTCCACCCCGCCAAGCGCTCACACCTCCGGCGGCTCATGCGTATGCTTACCAGTTTCGGCATCTTCGGTGCCGGCGAGCAGCGAGCTGCCGCTGCCGCCGCCGATGATGGTGAGAGTGAGACCGTCTACACGCTCACCCCGGTGTCCAGCGTCCTCGTCGCCGACGACAAGGAGGCATCAGGGGCCTCCTCGCTTGACATGTCGGCACTGCTCCGCCTCTTGGCGCGCCCTAGCACGTCCGTCTCCACCTTCTTCGGCTTGGAAGAGTGGTTCAGAGATGGAGGAACCACGACGCTCTTCGAGATGGCACTTGGTGTGCCTCCATGGAGCTTGACGAAGAACGACGCCGCCTACAATAGAGCCATGAACGAAGCGTGTGTCGTGGACACCAGCATGGCTATGGACATCATGCTGAAAGATACCTGCAGAGGCGGCGGCGCCAGCAGTATCTTCAGCGGGCTCAGCTCACTGGTCGATGTTGGAGGGGGCCATGGCGCAGCCGCTATGGCCATCGCTACGGCCTTTCCGCACATCAACTGCAGCGTACTAGACCTCGAACAAGTGATCATCAAGGTGCCACGAGCTGGCACTGATCATGTTCATAGCACGGTGCAGTTCATCGCCGGTGACATGTTTGAGTCTATTCCACCTACAGATGCTGTTTTTCTAAAGGTAAATATAAATATATTCCAATAGATAGATAGATATATCATCCTCGATCTCCTCCTCGTCATCAATATTAGGTTCTGTTTGATACAAGGAGCTAATAGTTTTAGTTGCTAATAATTGGCTACTTAAATTCAAACAAGTCTAGCTAATAGTTTAGCTAATTGTTAGTTGAATACCAAACTAACAACTATTTCACTTGCTGAACAAAACTAGTTAGCTAATATTAGCTGTGGCCTATTAGCTAGCTAACTACTAGCAACTAATGGATCAAAACAGAACCTTAGTGGTAGTACTGGCTAGTGATGATTTATGCATGGAATATTCATGTGGATATATAAATGATGTCTATGTATGCACATGTATGTTTCAGCATGTTTTGGATTGTTGGGATGACGACCACTGTGTCAAGATACTTCAACAGTGCAAGAGAGCAATTCCCGCCAGAGATGCTGGAGGTAAAGTGATCATTATGAATGTTGTGGTCGGCTATGGATCACTGGACAAAGTTGTCAAAGAGACGCAAGTGTTGTTTGATATGTACATGATGCGATATGGTGGGTCTGAGCGAGAGGAGCACGAATGGAGAAAAATCTTTTCAAAAGCTGGATTCAGTGATTACAAGATCACGCCCATACTAGGTTTTCATTCAATCATTGAGGTTTTTCCATGAAGAAGCTCAAGGTGGAAACAATCTATCTATATAATTAAGTACCACGACAATAAGAGATAAATAATGAATAATTGTGACTATATATGCTATTGATGTTTGTTTGTATCATGGAAGGAATTCCATAAAATGTCAACACTTATTATCTCCATATATATTGTATAAGGCTTGTATTTCACAGGGACTTATATATTATCCCCATATATATTGTATAAGGCCTGTATTTTACAGGGACTTATTATCCCCGGCCCATATATATTGTATTGTTCTTTATAAGCAACTAGGGCAAGGCTTTGTTGTACTTATACCATCAAATATAATAAAATTGAAAGACCATGAACTGAATCTGTGTTTCTTTTTTTTCGTACATATCATCCATTTTCTAGTTGCATTGTTTGATTATTTTTCAAATTTCTTTAGGTTATTACAATAGCTGCATGTCTGCTTATAATATTTTGGTTATTGTTTTGGGACATGAGGGATTTGGGTTAAAAAAGTTTAGTTGTTTGAGAGATTTGATGTTTGAGAGCCTTAGTGAACTTGTATATATGGACAGTCCATAGCCTTGAGCACTTGCGATAAGTCAAGAATCTCGGTTGCACATTTGTTACATTTGGAGGAGAAGCTTTCTGGGTGATTAGGTGGCGTCCGGTGCTCCAGTGCTTGTGATGAATCAATATGACAATTTGTGAGGGCTATTGCCCCGCAAGGAAAAAAGATCATCTCTCGAGAAGAACGGTTGAAAGAGATGACCCATCAACTAGAGTTTGTCTTTCAGAGGTCACTCACGCCCCCCTCATCAATATGGATACATAGGGTTCAAGTGAAATTGTTCTTCGGAATACACGTGTCAACTTAAATTATCGTGGCATTATTTTCCCTATGCGACACACGGGCATTTATCTAGTATAATACAAATATTCAACAACAGAAGTTACTGCTTTCCTCCTACTTCCATGCGTATGTGTAGTGTTTATACTTCATCAATTTTAGTTGTCTTGATGTTAGCAATGATGTTTACTTCAATTTCAATTTATCTATATAGTTCTTGGTGAACCAATTACCCACAACAAGGCTTCATCAGGGAATGGGAATGAAGAGACAAAGGCACTCCAACAGGCACCGTGAAGGAATGGAAGACACTAACGAACTCGCAACAATCGCTGCACGGAAGGCTGTAATAAAAATAATATATTTGCTTTCATGATTTCACTATTTGTCACTTTAGCCAACACAAGTCAACGCGATAAATTCCCATAGCAACGCGTAGGTTATCATCTAATAATACTAGAGAGGTGTCGCTTTTATAAAATAGAAAACATTAAATGGATTTATTGGTGACGTTGATTAGAGTCTTCTAAATTAAAGAGTAGATATTTCTAATTACTGTAATAATTTTTAAGATTTATCTTTTTTTTAGCATATCTCATAAGGATTAACATAGCGTCTCTTTTGGGGCTTCTAATTAATAATAGTAAACATAAAAAAACCCAGTCTTTTGTGTAGTTCATTCATAATATACATGTTTGACCTCACAAGATCGCTGGAGAGCACTGGGTTTTTGCCTCTCGAAGTTGGTCCTTCATTGTTCCCAGGTTCTGACTCTGTCTTCAGCTCTAGGTTTTTGGCAAAGTCTCCAAATCAATGTGCCTGACAAAATCTTTGGTTCGGCTTGATTGACCAAGTCTTCTTTGTTTTCAAGGTTACGCTATCTCTGAAAGAAAAAGAACTTATGGACAAAATTCAAAAACATATGAAGGGGGAGGGTGAGGGGCTGAGGGCAAAGGTCAATAGTCTCCAACACGGAGATTTGGTAATATAAAAAACTTTTGGTTTAATATATAGCAAAGTAAGTTGCAAGTGGGTATGCAGAACCTCTTGTGTTGTTAGCTTAGCTTCATTGGGTTGCCTGTTGTTGACTTGTGTCATTGCTCGATGCGTGGTCGTTATTCGGTTACTATCCAGTTAATTTTTTATTTTTAATATAACCGACGGCTCTACTACTACTTGTTCTATAGAAAAAAAAACTCCTGGCTCTGACTAGTCTAGGTTTTTGTAATTTTCCACTGCTTTCTTTTTCACGCCAAAAAAATATGGACAATTGGTGTGAAGGAAGAATCAAAACAGTAAAGTGTTAGCTTGAACCCAACTAATAAAAGTGAAAACACATTTTTTACAGTCAGTAATGATACAATTCAGCATCCACATAGACCGTGGGCAGTCCATTTCAACATTTCCCAAAAAAAGAAAGAAAGAAATGCAGAAATCAAGCTCTCTCTTTTGTATCTCGGAGCAAGGCAGTGGTCGACGAGCCTGAAGAAAGCTTGGAGTCGCCGGTGGTTGTCGTCGTCGTTGTTGTCGTAGATGAATCACCACCGCTGTAGCTCTCAACGGACAAAGCGCCGTAGGAACGTCCAGTGACGGCGAGGTCCGACGCCGCCTTGTACATCTGCGGCGGGAGCGCCGGAAGCCTGGCGTCCTCCGACTGCAGCACGTGCATGGCCTGCGCGACGGATGGCCGCTCGCTCTGGTCAGGGTGCGCGCACCACAGCCCGACGACGAGCACCCTCTCCATGCACTCGTCGTGGAGCTCGTCGCCGGCCCTCAGCCGCTCGTCCACCGCGTCAAGGATCGCGTTCCGGCCATACAGACCCCACACCCACTTCAGCAGAACGAAGGGCGGCTCGCCTTGCCGCAAGACCACCGGAGACCGGCCGGAGACGACCTCGAGGAGGACGATGCCGAAGCTGTAGACGTCGGCGTGGGTGCTCGGGTGCCGCGTGTTGACGAACTCCGGGTCGATGTACCCGGCGGTGCCGAGCACGGCCTTGGTGGTCTGCCACCGCCCGCCGTGGTCGCCGAGCCGGGCGAGGCCGAAGTCGCCGAGCTTGGCGCCCAGCGAGTCGTCCAGCATGATGTTACTGGGCTTGATGTCGCCGTGCACCACGCGCTGCTCCCACTCCTGGTGGAGGTACCGCAGCGCGGATCCCAGGCCGAGGATCATCTGGTACCTCTCCGGCCATGTCAAGAAGCTCTCACCGCCGTCGCTGCTGTGGAGACGCCTGTCGAGGCTGCCTTGGGCCACCAGCTCGTAGACGAGCAGGAGGCCATGGCGGCTGTCACACCAACCCAGCAGCTGCACGAGGTTGCGATGCTTGAGCCGGCTGATGATCCGCACCTCCGCCTCGAACTCCTTCCTCCCCTGCGCCGACGAGTCCGACGACAACATCTTGATGGCCACTGGGCGCTCTTCGCCGGCGACAGTGAGGGTACCCCTGTAGACGCTTCCGAAGCCACCGCGACCGAGCTTGCCGTCCTCGGCGAAGTTGTTGGTGGCGGCGGCCAGGTCACGGTACGCGTACCGCCGGGGACCGCTGGCAGCCACCCCTCTCTCGAGCTCCACCCTGCTGTTGTCTTGTTCTTGGTAATCGTTGTCGTCATCGCTGGTTTCCTTTGGTAGCATTCCTCCCAATCTTCTTCTTCTATTGCGTTTATGCCGTACAAAAAAGGCCAGCACGCCTGCACATGCCAAGAGAAACAGCAGAGGCACGAGCACGGCAATTGTCAGGGTTCCCACTGATCTTTTATTGGGATGCTGGATGTTGTCAGATGTCAGAGGTGGTGGCCTCGGCGGAGCCGGAGCCGGTGCCGGTGCTGGTGGTTCCTGAAGAGTGGATGTGAATGACCATGACAGTATCTGGTGCAGCTCGCCGCCGATGCCAGTCGCCGCCGAGAAGCCCACGGCGACATGCTCTGGCAGAGCTCCTCAGATCAACGGTAGCGTTGACGTTGTACGATGTGCCGTTGATGGTGAGTTGGACGGCGAGCAACCTGGTGACATTCACGTACCTCACGGTCAGTGGCGGATGCACGATGCGGGATAAGGGGGGCTAAAACAATGAAGATGTTGATTTGCATGAAGATTTAATGGTGAAATCAAGCTTTTGCTACAGTGATTAGGCTTGAAATTAAGACATTAGGGGGGGCTGGAGCCCCCCAGCCCCCCTTTGGATCCGCCACTGCTCACGGTTGCCATCATCACGTAACCGGCGGAGGTGAGGTTCTTTGTCGGCGAGGTGGTGTCCTCCACTGCCGTGGAGTTGACGGAGTTGACGTCGATGGCCACATGCACTAGTAGAGAACAGATCTTTCATCCGAGGTTAAAATGGGCTCTAGTCCCGACATTTTTTGTGTCCGGGACTAGAGAGATCTTTAGTCTCGGTTGGTGTCTCCAACCGGAGCCACCAACCGGGACTAAAAGTCCTCCAACCTTTAGTCCCGGTTGGTAACACCAACCGGGACTAAAGGTCCTCCGATGTGTTAGTTCAAAAGGGAAGCATCTCATCCATTGTTAGATATGTTGTGTAGGTGGGGTGGTAAGTTATGCTCGAGGCAATGCATGGTCTTGGTTTCGAATCTCACGGGACGCAACGGTGGGAGGCATTATTTTTTTTTAAAGTTGGGAGGACATTTAGTCCCGGTTGGTGTTATGCACCAGGACTGAAGGTCCCCTTTAGTCTGGGAGGACATTTACTCCCGGTTGGTGTTATGCACCGGGACTGAAGGTCCCATTTAGTCCCGGTTCCCGATCCAGGACTAAAGAACTCCTTTAGTCCCGAATGCTTACTCCGGATGGGAAACCAGAAGTAGAGGGAGTTCTCCACCGGAAGTAAAGCTCGTCCCTCCAACAGTGATGGCTGTAGCTGACATCGGCGTATTCCGGATTCAGAAAGGTGTCGAACTCGACGGCGACGATGGTGCCGTCGCCGGTGCCGTTGGAGCCCCCCGGGAAGAGGCCCAAGCTGCCGCCTCCGCTGTATCGGGGGGTGTCGGACCAAAAATGCCCGTGGAAGAAAGCCATCCCGTCGCCCGGATACGTCCTCGCGTCCGGAATGATTCGAAAGGAGAAGGTGGTGGTGAAGCTGGCCGTCTCGCCGGTGGCTCCATCCCACAGCCGCACTGCCTGCATGTACTTGGCCCGGCCGATGCTGCCTGTGCTGCTCTGGTCAAGCCTGTTCCGCGTCAGCTCAAGTGTGTCTTGAGTGAGCAGCGCGTCGCCGGTGCAGTTTATCAGCTGGGACACATTGGGGCTCTGGGGTTTGGAGAAGCGGAGGTCGAAGGACAGCGATCCAGCGCGAGGGACATGGATGGACAGTAGTAGCATCCAGAAACAGCAGAGGCTGCACGAGACGTGGAGGCCGGAGGGACGACGGCAGCTCGCGGTCACTGCCGCCATTGTTACTAGGTAAGCTTGAGCAAGGTTCGGAGACGAAGGAAGGACATAAAAATCTGTACTTGTATATGAGAGACGTGCACCAAGCCGACAAAGCCCACCCGAAAATGCAGTCCCACAGGCACATGGCCTTGTCACAGACTGTCGGACTAGATATTCCAACCACCGGACGGTACGCTGTCGCTGGCGTGTGATTTGTGTGGGGCCAGTCCAGCGGAGACTTGCCGTCGGTCAAGTCGTCGCGCGAGCGCGACCCAGTCGTCCCGCTTGTGCCAAACTTGTTTTCTGACCACAAACTGCCCACTAGAAGACAAGTGGATGTACTACTAAGATCCCGTTTGACAGGGCTTCACTTCACTAGTAAAGTTATTGTTTTTTGGCTTCAGCTCCATGAACAGTTCCACCGTTGAAGCTGAAGCAGTTTTGGTAAACTATTTGGCAAAATGGCTTCCCTGTGAGAGCATGTTTTTAGGGGCCTGGAGGAGCCGGGAGAAGCCACTTTTTTTTGGCTCAATCCCACCCCAAATCACTGTGAGAGCATGTTTTTAGGGGCTTCACAAGTGAAGCTATTTTACTTTACCCCGTTTGGTAGAAAACGGATCAAAACGGCTCCTAAAGCCGGTGGAGAAGCCCTGCCTAACTAAGTCTCTGTATATACAACTAAAAATTAGCGAAGAGAATCGTTCACCCGGCTGTTTAACCTCGCTCCCCTCGCGAGAGTCCCCCGGCTTTTAACCGAGCCATAGCTGGGCCTGATGCTCCCACGTCCGTCCTCTCACGGAAGTCACACGCTAACCCCACGCTGCCAGTCACGCCATCGTGTTGTTCGCTCGCGAAAGTCCCACTCCACTGCTCCCGTCCTGTACCTGCAGCCACAGTATCATGAACGCGGACGCGAACACGAACGCACGCGCCAGTCTCATCCTCGACCCTAAGCGACACTACTACAGAAGTTAACTGTAGGGCGGCTCTAGAGCCTCTGCAGGAGCGGCTGCGCCAGCCGTTCTTTCCAGGGTGCCTCTGTAGGAACGGCTGGTGTTTTCAGCCGCCCCTACAGTGCCCTCTGTAGGGGTGGCTGGTAATATCAGCCGCCCCTGTAGTGGACTTCTGTTAGGGTGGCTGTATCACCAGCTGCCCCTGCTGTGTGTATTTGTAAGGGCGGTTCAATCAAGAACCGCCTCTACAGTGGATTTTCCAGCAAAAAAAAATTCAAATTTAAATCTGACCACAGATATATATATATAATTCAAATTCAAATCTGACCGCCACAAATATACATATATACTACCACAAACACAAGACCATTATTTAGAACATCATCACAAGTCATAATTCACAAAAGTCTATCAAATAAAGTCAGGGGAAAACTTAATTTGCAATGCTTCATTCCTAACAGGTCAACATGAAGCTACTAGTTGGATCCTAACAAGTCCTTGGTCAATACAAGGACATGAAGCTACTGCTTCCTAACAGGTCCTAACAGGCCCTTTGCACAACAAGCACATAGTATGCAATTCACTACAAAGTCATTCCAGGTTCATGTTGTCTTTTTTTTTTGCTGCCACTGAGCGAACTAGAAGCATCATATCCAGTATCCTACCAGGAATGTAGTTAGTGAGTCCTGATGCAACTCAAGTTGGAAGGGCAATCTTTACTATGTTGGAGAAACCAAGATTAATTGAATTTCCAATTTTATATGGATGCAGATAGATTAAACAAGCCTAAGCATCAAGTTGGCGATGAAATGTATTAAAACAATCACAGAGCTGTACTCTTTTAAGTTCCCAGCTAGATGAACACCACCGGAAGATATCTAGCCCAAATGATTTATCTCATTATCTACAATATCTAGCTAAATTTATTAATCCTTACATAGGTAGCACTAATGTCAAACGAACATTAGCTTTTCCAGAACATGCATATCAAGTTGATTTTTAAATTTAAAGGTCCCTCGGATGGAAGCAGCACTGGAACAAACTAAAGCAGCCCAAAAGCAATATTTCCCATACAGCAACAACACAAGGCATACTTCATCTTACCATCAATAGCTTGCGCGGTGGCTGACAGTAATCTTTCTATGTCACTTTCTTTTTCATTAAGCATGTCACTTAGTATCTTTTTGTTTTTTGTTAGCAGTGACCTGCAAAAAAATAAGTACAAACATGATGGATAATTTTGGACCTTTAGGTAGTGTGAAATCTGTAGTTAGCAGCTCATTTAATTAGGAAAGTGCATGGATAAGTGCCACAAGTCCTTGCAGCAGAAAAAATGCATGTAGGACTAATGGCAACAATATAATATGTATCTCTAAATTACAGTATAATATGTTGTGTATGCTTTATCAATTAATTCAGGACTGCCCTTGAGTATATTATTCCATTAGTGATGCAAGGACAGAAAATCTATATGAAACATAGAACAATCAAATCTTTTTTTGATAACACAACAGTCAAATCTTGGTCCCTGTTTGCTACTTCAGAAAAGACTCTCAAGACGAAACAGCATAAGCATCAGATCCTATACAGGTCAACTAAGAGCAAAAATAATGTGAGCCGGGTAATCTTACCATGTTACTTTCTTCTTCCTTAAGCATGTCAGGCGGTATCTCTATTTGTTTTTTTTTGTTGTCAGCAATGACCTGCAAAAAATAAATACCAACATGGTGGATGTTTTTTTGGACGATTAATTACAGACAGATTAAATCTTAGAAATCGATCATCTCAAGTACTGTCCTTTGTGAGTGAATAGACAATAATTATACCGTCAATGGGAACCTGCAGAAATAGCTGGCATTAGTTTTTACGTTTAGATGGGATCACACTCATCGCACAAGGCCTGGGTATTATTGCAAAGTTGTCTAGTGTATGGATGATACCTGATTTCATAGCCACAACCTGCCCTGATTTCATGTATTGTTCTAATTGAAGCTTCGAACCTATCTGTAATCTCTTCACTATCAAAAATAGCAGAATAAAAAAAATTACAAGTCATGTCACATCGAACCAATGAAGAAATATATGGCGAGAAGCAATAAGACTAATTTGCAATGGAATTCAAAGATAATCGATCCACAAAATATAGCCGAGTAGTTAAAATGCTAGAACAAGAAAGTGCAGTTGTCGAAATAGTTAAAAAGATGAGATTGGACAGTAAACTACCTTTATGGCAAAGATGCCCTTGTTAGCTAACAAACAACCAATCTGAGGCGAGAAATACTACAGTTACTACACGCTCGGATTGCATCCAGGCATTGAATTTCGGCTGATGATTCATGAAAAAGATTCATCCTCCTACTCTCATGTTCACAAATAAATGACAATGGCACAACTAGTACAAAAACATTTTAATTTTAATTTTGGATCGATTTTATCTTTTGGATAGTAAATGTTGAACTGTGAAAAGAAGAAAAGCCGGAATCACCCAGAGGGTTGCCCCACCCACTACAGAACATAAATTGAGTACATTACAAAGTGAAAGAAAATAGTCCACAGAAGAAAGAACGAGATGCATAGTAGATCTTACCCTCAATCTTGCGGAAATATGAGACTGGTGTACGGCAAAGCCAAATGATGTACCTTGCAGCCACACAAAACGACAAGTTTTCTAGGGTATGATTTGGAGAAAATTGGGATTAGTTGATTGGAAGAGGAGAGGTTAGGTTTGTTGGTACCTGCGATGGTGATGCAAGGACCTACAGCAGCAACGGCGCACATATGAGTCCAGGCGGCGACGCTGCCTGTCAGCGGAGCACAGATCATCCAAAGCGGTGGAAGGGCCTAGGGTTACGGGCTTACAACGTTTTTGCGACGGCGGTGGAATGACCTTGAGAAGGGGTCATGAAGATCTACAACTTTTATTTTGGTCATCTTGTCATTTGATAAAATTTGAACCTTTCAAATTTGAAATTTTAAAAAATGACAAGTTCGAACCAAAATTTGAGACCCAAAATGATTTCAACATAAAAAGTGATGAATACCAAAGTTGTTCAACTCATTAATATCTACAACTTTTATTTTAGTCAGCTTGTCATTTGATAAAATTTGAACCTTTCAAATTTGAAATTTTGAAAAACGACAAGTTCGAACCAAAATTTGAGACCAAAATTGATTTCAATATAAAAAGTGATGAATACCAAAGTTGTTCAACTCATGAATATCTACAACTTTTATTTTGGTTATTTCTTCATTTGATAAATTCTTAGCACACATTGTTCACTAATCTTACACATGTCTCATATAGTTTATAAAACCTTATGAGAGATGTGTCACATTTGTGAACAATATCATTACCACTTTATCATATGAAGAAATGATCAATACAAAAGTTGTAGATCTTGATGAGTTATTCAACTTTGGTATTTATCACTTTTTCAGCTGAAATCATTTGGGGTACCAAAATCTTGTCTGAAGTTGCATTTTTTTTGAAATTCAAAATTTGAATTGCTCAAACTTTTCGTATGTATAGATTGACAAAACCAACAAAATAAATTGATAGAGAATGATTTTAGAAAATTTTAGGAAAAAAATCATCAGATTTGGAGTTATTATGAGGAAGAAAAACTAGTTACAAAGTTGACCCACAGATTAAAAAAAGAAATCATACTGTTCACTGTGATCATGTAAGGATCATCTAGAAGAGTGTGATTTCTCTTTTTAATCTATGGGTAAACTTTGTAACTAGTTGTTCTCCCTCGTACTAACTCCAAATGTGATGATTTTTTTTCCTAAAAATTTCTAAAATCATGCTTCAGCATTTAAGTTTGATCAAACTTGGATGTGACAATGTTTTACGCATTTTAAAATTTGAAATTTGACAAGTTCAAACCAAATTTTTAAACCCTAAATGATTTCAGATGTAAAAGTGATGAATACAAAAGCTGTTCAACTCATCAAGATCTACAACTTTTATTTTGGTTATCTTGTCATTTGACTAAATTTGAACCTTTTAAATTTTGAAATTTGAAAAAAGGCAAGTTGAAACCATAATTTGGACGTCTCTCTGGA